TTGGGAGAGCAGAGGCGCCCTYCCAGGGAGTTCGTTAATGTTCTTTCAAAGGGAAAAAGAAACACTTTAACAATATTTCAGAGCCTCTCTCAGGCACAGTTTTTCTCATATGATATAGCCTTGAACGAAGCATTTAAACTCATTTGAGAAAGACTGATCCAAAGGACACTTCTCCTGTGGATCGGAGATGCAATAGATGTAACGAGAGTACCAAAGCTTGCAAAAATACGATACCTTTGCCTCTATTCAGCACTAGTTGCTACACTGCAATGCATTACACGTATAGACTGCTAGCTCTGGCACAAAGATGACACTGACTCTATAGCACGGTTCTTCCAAAATGCAGAATTGAAGTTTACCTGCCTCTGCTGAGGATTTGGGCACACATTAAAATAGTTTCTCTTGGAGGTTGCCTGATTTCTCTTTTACTTCCTCTACCTTGTCTTTTCCAGTGCCTCTTTCCTTGAGATGTAACAGTTTAGATGCATGTAGAAAAATGTCACATATACCTTTGATTGAATTATATTTCTCTATTGTTTATGGACTTGCTGTGCATTTGCAATCATTATTAATAAATCAATGTGCTTTTGTCTTCTGTCATGAAGTAATGTATGTATTCAAAAAGAATTGTATGCAAAGCAAGTCATGTTTTAGAGCTCGCATCATTAATAATTATCAGTTTGCAGTATTGTTGCAACATGTTTTGAGAGAAGCTTATTATAAAAGAAATAACAAGGCACTGCATGGTAGCAAGAAAGAGACAGTTCAGTTCATCGCTGGAACGGGTGTTATAAATATGCCAGTCTGTACTATAGTGTTTTATTAAGTCTCAGAAAGTCAAAGCTGATTTGAAATAATAATGTCTGACAGTCGGTTCTTTGAAGTTTTGCTGCTGCACTCTCACATTTAGGCTTTCTTTTATGTATGGCTTTACCATAAAAAACAAAAACACACATCGTGAACGCCTTTTTTTTCCCTCCTGTATCTGTATTTCAAAGAAAGCAACAAGAGGCTACTCCAGTGAATTAAACCAAAAAAACAGCCCCCACAATTGATGGGAATAGGTGCAGGCTGCTGTAAGCTCGTGCAGCACTCATGTCAGCGTGAGCTGGGCCTGCTAACTTGTGGAACTCCATAAAAGTGAAATTAAAAAGAACATCAAGGAAGAAAGAGAGTCGAGAGGCCAAAGCTCTTCCTGATGGGAACAAGATGACTTGCATGGCGGCGGCCAAAGTTGGGGGCTTGGCAGTGCTGGCCAGCACGGGYGCGCTCCGTCCCGCCTCGCAACAAAGACCTGGATTCCAGCCATTCCATGACTGATTGATTACCCAGTGGACAAATGTTAATTCTCTTCATCGATGGTTTGTCATTGTGGAGAGATCCTTTTCATCTAACACCTACAGGTTTTTTGCTCTCACCCCCCCTTTTTTTTCMTGCTTATTAATCTTGTAACGATCTCTTCTTATTCCCCTTTCCAAAACTGTTTTGTCTAACAAAATTCTCCCAGTACTTTCAACTCCTTTACTCTGCAATTAAAATTGCTRACAAAGTATATAATAAACCGTGATATTAAATAGTGCTCAATGATTTCATTCAGTCATCCTAGTCTAATTATGCTTAACCTGCTTGCTGTCCTTGAAAGACTTTCCCCCCTAATTTACAGCAGAAAAAATATAAAAGATCACAATCAGTGCGTTGTTAATATAACTAATTGCTGCAGCACAACTATGTGAGTTCGATCTTCGATGTGTCGCTGCTAAACATGCCGCTTAGTCTGCAGCATAAACCCAACTGCAGCTTAGAATATAGTCCGTGCTGAGAGCTGGCAGTGCAAGATGCAGGTTTTCCCTCGGCTTCCTTCTGGGGCACGCGGGGCTCGCGCGGCCGCGGCGCGGGCAGCCTGATGCCGTGCAGATGTGGCGGCTGCCGCGCGCACGAGCGAGCGAGCGAGCCTGCCTCGGTGCTTTGTCTCTGTAATGAATCAGATCAGAACATGAATCAATATGGATGAAGACATTTTACTGGTGTCAGAAGAATTCTTTGTAGATTTTATATGTGTGTGGAAAACTAATTTGCAGTAGGAAGAGAAGAAAAAAATCCCTTTCTTTTTCCCAGACCTTTTCAGAATGTGTGTATTCGTGAACGCAGAATACAGAAGTTGAAGGGAGACGTGCCTTTCAACTATAAACCTTTATATTTATGTTCATGTCTAATGTAAAGGACCTCCAGAGAGCTTTAGCACATAGTGTGATTTTAAATTCTAAAAATTATGCATATCAGTGCTGCTAATTGAAAATTTACAGGAGTTTCAAAGGAGCTACATTTACAGTGCTATACAAAAGTTCATTAAAAGACTTGTGGTGTATTTTTGTAATTTTTCCAGTAGCAAAATACGATAGCTATAGGTTGTGTAATCAGATAGCTTTTTTTAGAGAATTTGAATGGCATAGTAGGGCTTAAAAGAAATTCTTCATCTTAAGGAATTTTTCAAGCCTTTAAAGAGACAGAAATCGTCACTAGCAATGTGATTATATGGAAAAGGAGGCACACGGCTTGGCCTGCTTTACGTTCTTTCTCGGTCCATCTTTAAAAATATACTGCTTCCTCTTGCCTAGTATAAGAGCACTACAGATAAATATGTATGTTTTTAAAAAGAAAAGAAAGGAAACAAAACGAGCTTCAAAGAAAATATTTTGTCAATTCTTTTGATATAATTCTTTTTTTAATTTAAACCATTTTTCTATTTTTATATGAATTAAGGAAGATAGCTAAAAAAGCATTAAAATATATAGCCTTTAGCAAGCTAAAATAAAGCTGTAAGTCTCCCTTTTTTTTATTCCCCAGGGATGAGGGATCTGAAATTTTGGCAGGGGAGAACCATAGAAACATCTTTTTAAACTACTGGTGATATCACAAAAAAAGGACAAATTATCATGTTCTATTGGTAATTGATGGTTATTTCTTGGTTCTTCTATTATCAGGCCAGAACTCATAAAAGTAATAAATGCCTGGTATTGTTAAAAGTAAATTGTTATTATGTAACAAGTATTTTAACTCTGCCTATTGCAACTTAGAGCTCCTTAATTTTGTTTCTTTTATAGAAAGATATAATTAGTAAATAAATYGGCTTTTCTACTGAAATATTACTTCAAAAACATTTACTAACTGTGTTGTCTTTCCACGGAGGCTTGCACCATGAAAATGTGTTGCAATTAAAACCTGATGTTTGATCTTTGGTAGTTACAGCTTGGTGTGCTCTCAAATGATCTTATTTTCTTTTTTCTTTTCTTTTTTTTTTTTTTTTTTTAAGTGAAAGCTGCAAATGCAAATTTGTAATGTGAAACTATTTGCATCCCAAAATGTGCTTGTCCATCTGACCTTTATTTCTTCCTCGAATTTCTCCCTAATAACTATTCCCTAGCTCCTCCTTTTATGACCTCTTTGAATACTGCGCTTCTCTCTATTTTTAGCATCCTCGGAGGTGGAACAAACTGGTACGTGTTGGGTAGATGCTATCTGAGCTGCAAGCCTGAACTTGGGCTTTTTGTGTTTGTTTTCACTTGTGTGAGTGCTTCTAATGGGGCTGCTGACGGGGAGTGTGAGCCGGGATCTGGTCTCTCCTCTGAGAGGAGCTACCAGGAGGTCTCTGTGGGGCTCAGCGTTGCCTTCTTGCACTGCCAAGCGGGAATTCTTACGTGTCTCGAGTGGTACCAGGGCCAATGTTGTCAGCATTTGGAACATYTCTAGACTTCACCATGTATTGTCTAGCTTGATACCCACTGTATACCAATGGCAGCTTGGGTTGAGCGTTTCTTGCTTAGCTGATGGGTGTTCCCAGTCTATCCAAGTAAGCCAGCAGGTGCTCAGCACCACCAAGAGTCATGTGTGGTCTTAAAGGAAGGCTGTTTGCAAAGGTTCTTTTGAAGAAGAGACTCACATTTAAATCACATCCTGGTGTCTTGCTGAGATGGAGCTCACGGGTTTCCCAGGAGCTGTGCACAGCCCGGGGGGATGAGCCTGCGATCCTGAGGACATGCGGGCCCTGTGTTGTGGAGGCAGCACTGCCCGCCAGGGGAGCAGGAGCCCTTGGTGGGGTGAAAAACTCGCTCGGGTTGCTCCTAAGGCTCTGGATCATGACACCAACCACAAGAAGCGCCGTCGTAAAAATCACCTTTTGTAAGTTCTCTGGAAAGCCACAAATAATTTAGACTTTGTAGTTAGTCAGCTTCATTTAGAGACTGCAGAAATCCTTTAGATTTTATTCCAGAGGCTGCTGTGCTCAATAGGAAATTTTCTAGTGGAAATGAGGTYTGATCCTATGCAACTCAGGGAAGCCAACGTGCTGCTTTTTCCAAAGTGGAATGGCTTCAGTGACAGTTTTGCCAGAGGAAGGCCTCCCTGACTGGGGCAAAGATTTGAAAAGCAGTCTGAACTGCAAATTATGAAAGCAGATCTTCTAATGATTGCATGTTGTTTATAGTGTACTGGGAAAAAATCTGATACTGTGCACATCCAATATGTAGAGTGCTTTTATGAATTCCATGGAGAGATTATATGAATAACTTTTGCATTGACATGGGTATAAAAATGGGTTTCAGATGACACTGTGTGCCAAATTTCTAAAAAAAGCTTCTAAATCTTCATGTATAATTTTGAGTGTACAATCATTCTCAAATGGAAAAGACAGAATTTGTATATACATTGGCAATCTATGCATGTAAATTGGCAGTTAGCATGCATAAATCCTGGACGAAGTTTTTCTTTCAATTAGACCCTTGTTAGATCCATAGTAACTCCATTAACCTCAATGCAATTATTTTGGATTGAAAATGTAGTTACAGCAGAAGACTGTTTGGCTACAAGTTCATTTCTCTTTGAAAATATGCTCCAATTAGAACAGATAGAAAAGTTTTAACAGGAAGATGGCACCTGTTTTCTTTTTCTGTAAGATTACATTAGATGCATCTTCCTTTATTTTTTGTTGTTTTTTTCCCGAACAGATTCGTCCTGCATGGAAAAGCTACTTTCTAAAGACTGGAAGGAGAAGATGGAAAAATTAAACACAAGTGATCTCCTTGGAGAAATTAAAGGTATGCCACTCACATTTTAAATGTTAAAATATATTTTAAACACTGTTTCAGAGATTTGCTTGGAGTTCAGAAAAATAATATAATCATAATTTGAGCATGTTTTCCTCTTTGCAGCCAAGTCGCCCAATCATCTGTTTGTTTTTGGAATTACAGAGGTCTTTGACAAATAAATAAATTGAATCATGTAATAATCAGTTATATGCAGTATCAAGAATGCTACAACAAACACCAAGTTAGTTACATTAATTCATTGACATCAGTTATTTAGCTGTGTGTCCAAAGGAAGAGGAAGAAACATCTTGAAAACATGGAATTTTTAGTAGTTGGTACTGTTTCTTTCCAATTGCATAAATTATATGCAGAAACTGCTTTCAGATTATAATAAAGGGATGATAGTTTGATCACTGTTTTAAATCTTAGATTGAAAATTGGAAATATACCACAATGTGTTTATCTTCTTGCTGTTTCTGRGGAGAAAGCCTGCATGCAATTCTGTAGCTACTGAGATCAGTGGGAGTTTGATTGCTCATGTAGACAGGACATTCCAGTAAGCCCAAGATTCCTAAGATCAGAATTCCCTTGCAGAGAACATGAGATTTTTTTTCTCCATCCACTAATTCTTCTATTGATTTTCCTATTGAAAAGATTTTCAGTGTTATTGATTAAGCAACAAATTGCAAAGATGTGTTTGTGTGCTGGTAGCAGGGCTTGTAAGGCATCTTTAAAGGGTGCACAAGGTATCAAGGATTTATTTTTCTTTATTGGTACAATTTTCTTAAATAGCAACTACAAAAATGTGGAAAGAAAGATCCATGTGCACTATATTAATAAATCTTTACTAATATTAAAACAAAAAGGGAAATATTATTTGATTAAAGTTCATGCTTAGGGTTTTACATTTATACCAGGGAAACTTAAGATAGTTGCATTCATTTATTACATAAACAGAGGAAGGACTGGCCCTTCTTTAGTCAGTTATATATATCAGCTAGTTCCTTCAGCTGATGGGAGACCCAATGTAATCGGATGTAGGTATTTCCTTCTTTTGGATTCCTCCTGTAGAAATATGACTTATATGTTAGGCAGATAAGAAACCYTGTAGTAGTGTCAGTTGCAGAAATATAGAATACAGTTTTTCTAAAACAGGTTAATAAACAAAAGACTGTAATAAAGATAACAAAATTATGTCTTGAAATGACATTCTATATAAAGCTCTATTGTCTCCCAATAGCAAGGAAAACACTGAATGCTTGGTTGTCCATTAATTGCACAATATAGCTACTTAGTCTCTAAATAGAAGCTACTTGAATGCTATTAGTGAATCAAAATTAAAAGAGGTGGGATCTCTAACAATGCAGAATAATGTTCTTTATTCTGTGATGTGGCATAAAAAGCTTTTCATGAGCTTTCATTTACAAAAAAAACAAAACTGTTCATTTTTCTGGAATTATGTTATTCCTCCTGTTCTCATTGGACATATATTCACTGCAGAGTGAACTAACAGAGTACTTGATCCTAATGCTTTTTTCATCTACCTACAAAGCATTCTCACCCAGGCTTGGAAGGGTTTGCAACCCATTCAGTTAGCTTCCCTAGGACTATTAGCTGCATAAAAAGGATCATCTTGCTTTGGCTCACCAGGGCTGAATGGGACAGTCATTCAGTCCCTTTCCACCACTATCCTGCGGGCAGATATGTGTCCCCAGAAGTCATTTGGAAAGCAGAGAAGGAGGCCTCAGCTTCAGCATCAGAACTAGGGCTGCCTCCCATCCCTATGCTGCCGGGGTGCAAGAGGCCCCGCACCGGAGCGGGGAGAGCAGCGGGGCTTTTGGTATCTGGTTGTTAGTATGTAGCAAAGGCTGAAGCCAGTGCTTATATTATACATTGATTATATGCTGTATATTATGCATTAATTATATCCATGGATGATGGGAAAAGCCACGCTGTTTTCTACAGCCTTTAATCACAGAATCACAGAATATTCAAGGTTGGAAGGGACCTCTACAGATCATCTAGTCCAACCTTCCTGCTCAAGCAGGCACACCTAGAGCATGTGGCACAGGGTGGCATCCAGGCGGGTTTTGAAGACCTCCAGAGAAGGAGACTCCACAGCCTCCCTGGGCAGCCTGTTCCACTGCTCTGTCACCCTCACAGTAAAGAAGTTGCTCCTCACCTGGAGACGGAACTTCTTATGCTTCAGCTTGTGGCCATTACCCCTCGTCCTATCGCTGGCCACCAGTGAAAACAGCTTGTCCCCTTCCTCCCTGCATTCACCCTTCCTGAACTTATACATATTAATCATATCCCCTCTGAGCCGTCTCTTCTCCAGACCTTGGTTTTYATATTGCCCTTGGCTTGGCAAGTCTGTAACTGCTCTGAACAGTGTTGGGGAACCAAAATGTAAATGCAGAATCAAATACTATGAGTTTTATTTCTGTCCCTAGGAGGTGAGGTGGTGAACCTTCTTCATCTTATCCAGGTGTCCTAAAAACAGGTGGTGGTTTTGAGGCGCAGACAAGAACTGCGCTGTAACTGTTACACCTTGCTTGGCTTTTCACTCTTTCTCACCAGTGATCTGAGTCACTGTGACTTCCCCAGTGACCAAGGACAGGTACTGGTCTGTGTAGCTTCCCCGCCCCAGTCAGGGGCATGAGAGGCAGCCTGTGTCCCACTGCTCTCCTGATCTCCTCCTGCAGCCTCCTGCGTCTTCAGGCTTCTCCCACGTGCCGAGCTGGACACGGCCGCAGCTTTTGCTGGTGGCCGCTCCTGGCAGGGCCTGGCACCCTTCATAGCGCTAGTGGTACCTGCTAGCCTACAGCTCATACAATTCTCCAGAGCACTTTCATGTGAAGACTTTCATTATCCTTCATAGGGTTGCTGTGATGAAGTGAACTGTAATAGAGAAAGGTAATGTTACTTGCACAAGGTCAGTTAATGAATTGGGAGTAGATGACGGAGTCCTGCTATCTGCAGTACAAGATGCACTAAGGGTTCCTGTTCCTAATCCTCAAAACCTTTCCTTAAGCAGTCGTAGTGTCTGCAGTATTCTTCTCTACTGAGAGCCAACTGGAAGTTGGCTTCCAGGAAGACTCAATGGTGAATCTTTGTACTGCCACTACATTTAACATTTCTCATGAACAGCAAAAATACAAAGAGGGCACACACCAAGAAGTCAGAARACAAATAGAAAGAATGGCTAAGAATGGCTGCTGTTTGCAATGCTTCCACTTACAGTTTTCAAACCTCTGTGCAAAGGTCTGGGTGTCATTCAGTACTTGAAGAGCACGAGGTGCAGAGCTGCCCAGCGGGCCAGGGCYGCCTGGAGGCAGGACTTCTCCTCGCCTCTTACCTGGCCCCAGCCTCCAAGCGGGGCGGCTGCTTGCTGATAGGGAAAGTGTAGCTACTGAGAAAAATCACACTAAGAGCTGGGTATTAACTTGCATGGGCCTATGTGGATCTTAACTTGTTTTTGGAATAATCTCAGAAAGAGGAAAACAGTCATTCTAGCCAGTGGCAACCTGAAAACTGGAGTGCAGGAAAAGCAAAGGAAAGGAAGTCATCCAGAGAGGTCTATTTAATCTCCTAAAAAAGTGTACCTAAAAAAAACCACATTATAATATCCAAGGTGATAGATTTCCGAAATCATTTTTCAAAATCATCTCAAAGTTCATTTTGATAGAGCTGAGTGGCTTTCAGTCAGGTAAGTGGCAGGACCCACGGAGGTGCAAAGAGCTGCCTTCTGAAACACCCTGGCCCCGGGATGGCAGCTGGCGTGTTGCTCAGCTTGCATTGCATTCCTCATCAGTATATTTAGCTGTTGATATTTTTCACTTTTGTGCAGACTTACTTTCTGTTCATATTATTGAGAGGCTTCACCTAAAGACATGAAGTGCTGCGATAAAAATAAACAAATGAGGTCACTAGGGAAAATATCCGGGTTTTAAGCAAACGAGGTGCAGTCCTGTGAGGAGCAGCCCTTTGCACTGCCTGTTCCTGGGAGCTGTTTATTTTGGAGGAAGGCCTTGTTCTGGCGGAGCATAACCCGGGCACACACTCTTCCTCGGGGCTGCCCGGTGAGCAGCCCCTCCAGGGAGACAAGAGCATCTTGGCTGTGCGAAGGAGATTTGCTAAGACTTGTGCCAGAAAAAATGGATGAAAGCGGCAGAAAAATTAATGTGCCACCGACACAAACTGTTTCCACTCATATTTGGGAAGCACACAGAAGAAAAGATAATTGGGTGAGAGAAACAAATAAAAAGATGGTGTCTTCTTGCTTTACAATCTATATTTAGAACACAATATTGTTAATCAAGATATAATTATAAACTGTATCTATTAATACAACAGAAGCCAGTGTAAAAGTAGCAAACAGTGAAGCATTTATTTTTCTGCAAGTGGGATTGTTCATGTTCACAATTACTCTTGCATCGTGTGCTTCGTTTGTGAAAGTGCTTTTTCTGAGTGTCTTTGTGCAGATTTCAGTTATTGATGAAGGGACAGATTCTTCCTTGATTTCCAGCCAAACAAGCCATTGACTTCAGCAAGGTTGTATGAAGCTCAGAGGAGCATTTGGCAGAGTGCTTTGTAGCCAAATTCCAGTGGTTAAATAAGTCTGCTTGTTCATTTGATATGTTTATAAATGAAACACATAGGTCAAATTTTCAAAGGTCTGTGAAACAGTTGAGCTGAGTTAAATGCCATGCTCACCTAGCAAAAAAAAAAAGCTCATATTCGCTTATGCTAATTATTTGATTGTGTGCCAATTGCTAATATACGTGGGCATACACATTTTTCTAAGGTGTACAGCAATTCATGAGGCTAATGCTTGGCTTTTGCAGTTTTGCTCTCTCATTCAGCAATTAGGAGCAGTGAATACTTTTCATTCTAGTTTTTGTTATCATGGGTTTGAATAAAGGACGTGGGTTGGAGTTCTCATCTGTGTTTCCAGGTATTTGGGTGCCTGAGTATCTGCAAGCTTCCTCCTCTCCCTCCCTCGCTGC